TCTTGGCGAGGGAAGTAGCTGCCTGGTGCTGTTCGCAAGTGCTGATAAGGGCGATTAGGTTTTCCCAAACTGTTGGTGGTGGGTTGGTGGGAGTAAGGGAATGGGATGGGGTAGTGGAAGGTTGGCCCGCCGGCGCAGGCACGGGAGGGAGAAATTGGAACAATTTATTCCGAATGTTGTTGGGATGGAGACTGATCTTGAGTCAAGCACGGGAGGCGTTTCCGCAAAACCTTCGGCCCTCGAAACGGCACTCGGCGTCGACATGCAAGAGACGGGCTCCCTCGCCCCCCCGGCGTCAACGCGAGCGGATAGGACGAACAAGTACCACGCGCACTACTCTACGACGCGCATCTACACTACGATAGTCCCCAAACGCGGGCCTTCTCTCCCCTGGCCCTCGGCGCGGTAATCACGTGAGCAAGTCGACGATCTGGTCGACGACGGCGACAAGAAACGGGGGCGTCTTCTGCGCGATAGGGACGACGACATCGACGACCTGGTCCACAAGCGACGGATGTCCGGGCTCGCGAAGCAAAGCACGAAGCCGAGCGCGGCGGCGCAACCATTGACGCTCTCGGCGGCGTTCCAGACGACGTTCCAGAAGGAGCGCGTCGGCCTGATGGCGGCGCGGCCATTGCCTGCGGCGGGGGTGGAAGCGTCGACGGCGGGCGCGACCGTGCGCGCGGGCGGGGCTCGCTTGTGCGGCGGGGCGTTGGCGATCTCGGCGAAGGCGGTGGCGAGCAGCTCGCGGCGCTGGAGGCCGGGCAGGGTGACAAAGTCGTCGTGGGAGAGACGCACGGCCGAGGCGATGCGCTTGTTGTCCAGCTGTGCGACGGCGCGCGCGCGCAGCCCGTCCAGCTGGGCCACGGGGTCGGGCGGCGGGCGCGCGGCGGCGGGCCCGGGCGGCGGGCGGCGCGACGCGCGGCGCGACGCGACGCGCGCGGCAACAGCAGCAGGCGGCGCGCTAGGCGCGGCAGCGAGACGCGCGCGCGCGGCGGCAGAAGTGTGTTGAAGGCCAGCGTCACCAACACGGACACCACCGCCAGCACGCCCGCCAAGACCGGCAGCGGCAGCGCGAAGGCCGGCGCGGGCGCGCAGCGCCGGCACATCGGCCCTGGGGGTGGCGCGCGCGGGCGGCGCAGCGTGCGAATGGTGGAAGTGGCGGGCATGGTAGAAGCTGTCTTTGCAATCAACTCATACATACTTCTGAAAACTGTTTTCCCGCGAAACAGTTAAGTGATCTCCACAAACAGTCGCAGTTCGAGTTTGCCGCGCTTCCCAACGTGATGGGCAGTTCTTTCAGGCGGTATGTACGGCGTTTTACGCATAGTGGTTCCGAAAACATCCCTTCAACTTCGAAGGCACTCCTCACACCCAAGGAAAACATTTCGACTTCCGAACGCACCACTTGTCCTCCTCTATCAAATCTGCGATCTTCGTTACCCCCTCGCGCGAAATCAGCCGTTCTCGCATCTCACCGACCTCGTTCTCCAGACACGTCGTCGCCTCCTTCATCACCGCGCCAACCTCTTCACACTACAGAACCTTCTTCCCTTCACTCACACACACCAGCGTCTTCGGGTGCAGATAAGACACGGCGGAGATCTTCCCGTTTGCGATTTCGGACAGATTCTGTGGGACCTTCATTCCAAGTCATAGCTTCGCCATCATCCAGCCCCCAAAAAGAAGCACAAGGAAACATGGGTCTGCGACGTACAGTGTCCGCGCATAAGAGGCGTCCATTGCCATTACAGGCCGGAATTGGAAGCGCCGAGAAGCGTCGAAGACTAAGACCCTCTCAGACTGAGGCCACACGTTCGAACCCTACTGCGCGGGTACCCCTGTCGAATTCATCTGCGCTTGAGAGCACCGAGTTACAGCTTGCCGCACGTTCGAACCCTACCTTGCACCCACCCCGATCGAATTCATCCGCGCTTGAGAGCACTGAGTTGCAGCGATCCATAGAGGCAGTGCACAAACGGTTGGCAGAAGAGCTGGCCAGCTGCAATGCTACATTATCGGACCTAGTGAAAAGCAATGCAAATACGGCGTCCAGTTTAGAGGACATCAAACTCCTCATTCTTCAAAGCCCTGCAGGTAGTTCGCGAATACCATCTCGATCAAGGGTGCAGGGAGGGTCTCGAAAAGGTGCAACTAAGAACCTGGAAAGGGACGTTCTCAAAGACAACCCCACAGTTATTATGGAAATCAATGCGGCAGTGAACGCGGATACCGTGTCAAGATCGCTTGCACAGACTCTATCTTCGTTTATGGATGTCGATCACAATAACCAGGATGACCCCCGGATGACATCGCGTGTCGTCAGCGTCCTCTTGTTCGGGCTCAAACATAACAAATCTCGTTCAGAATTCAAACACGGACTGGGCAAAAATCATGCAAGTTTTCGCTTCAGTACAGCCAAACGTGCGGTGATGAACGCAAGAAATCTCTCCGACGAAAGTATACGAGCATATGCGGCAGAATTGACAACAACCAAAGCCTTTATTGATAGGGATGGTGACCGCAATGGAATTGATGTTTATGTTTCTACGAAGCCTTCTTGGCTGCAACCAGGTGTTTTGGACAAGCAAACGCTGCACACCGCGCGAATGCATCACGAGTGCGTGAAGGCCGAGTTACCTCCGGATCCCTCCTGCCCGACTAGGCGCAAACATCTGTTCATATGCAAGAGGATCGTTACTATTATTAACGACTGTTTGAGAATCTCTCGGGATCGCTTAAAGATCCAAATGTTCGAGAGCGGCCTCTTTCTACTGGTTAACTGGAGTGAATATGACTCTTTCCATCGCTCTCACTCGTCACCCACCTTTCGATTTTTGCACAGTGATGCGGAATCCGTCCCCGCTTCCGAGATACCTGACACTACTGTAGGGTGGGATACACACACATCCGTCACCAATCGGAAGCTTCTGGCTGCTCTTATATCGGAAAGCAAAGACCTGGTGATACAGGCGACTTATCAAGTCACCGTCACTGTTGGTTCGAACGGCGAAAACCGAGTCACAGAGATCAAGCGCAACCTTAACATCTTGCAAATTGCTCTGCGATTCGTCTGCGCCTATTGCCATTGTGGTGAGGAAATGACTCTTGGATCACATGCGTCAATGCTTCGAACAATCTATCGGATTGCTCGGTTTCTGAGGCAATTGTTCTCTGTTCGGACGAACGACAATCCTTCAGGTACAACGGCAACGCATGATGAGGCAACAGCTGTCAGTGGTGACGTGACAAGTGAGAGGAGCCAATCTTTGATACCCGAAATCACGCTGCAAGAGATGTTACCGGGTAGATCGGAGAAAGAGAAGGTTATCAGTGGGGTGTTGAAAATCTCCAAAGAGACATTCGCCAGATTAAACATTTCTGCACTGCAAGACATTGACAGCAGCGAAAGCGCTGTGCTAAGCGGCACCAATGAGTAGAGACATCAAACAGAAGATTTGGAAGATGATTTCGACAGTGACGATGATGATATGGCAGGAATGCTAGACTAACATTTCTGCCCTGATAGGTTACGTAAAGTTCGGATTTGCACGACCAGTGTCAAGACGGGTTCAGCAGTACGGGCTAAGCTGCATGCCAACAATTGCACGCCTTCAATATCAGAAGCTGCAGTATTAGAGCAGGTGAAAAAGTCGGAGCTCGTTCTAGTGGAGTACACCACTCGGGAAAATCGCATGAGGGGCGCGATCAGCATTCGAAAAAATCATTTCGGCTGCTCATGTCGGCAAGAGTGAACAGGGCGGAACCGATATAGTTTATCCTACCTCCATAGTCACTTAATGAATGAACGAAGTGCACCACCATGTATCCCCCAACTTTTTCCGAGCAGCATCTCACTCGTTCAAACCGAAGAGCATGTCCAAGCATGACCCATTCTTCGGTCTTAACAGTCTCCTTAACCCGGATCTCCGCCTCCTCCAGCTTAGACAGGTCCAACAGGACCTCGCTAAGCACCCTGAAAGCAAAGTCCGTGACGCTATGAAACTCGTCCGGGCATCCCTTGACGCCGCGCATGGCGTCCTTCGTGACAGCGGCGTGGTTGCGGCAGATGGCGTTGGCGGCCTGCTTACGGTGTTGGGCGCTCTCATGGCCATTGTTCAGCACGTGCTTGCTGCGGGCCGTCTCGACGGCCAGCGACACCGGGCTCCGCGTGCGCAGGAAGGACACCGGACCGATCTGCGGCGGCAGGGCGCCGATGTGGGTTCAGTCGTCGCTCTGCAGGTACGTGGCGGGCTCCCAGGCGTCCCGCGCGGCAAACCAGCGGTGTAGGTTCGAGCGGCCGTCGGCTAGCTCCAGGTTGCGCCAGAACTTGAGAAAGGAGCGCGCGCGCTCGAAGATCGTGGCTGGGGAAGAGGGGGTGTTAGGATCAGGCGGGCATTGTTTGGAGAAGCAAAAAAAGCAAGGACAAAGGTGATGAGGACTTACAGAGATGTCGACGAACGGGGGCTGCGGGCCCGGGTAAAAGAAGGAGCCCTCAAAGTCGCCGAGGCAGATCTCAATGAGATCGAGGGTGTGGTTGACCGGTTCCAGGCCTCTCCCGGGGCTAGAAATGGTGCCTCACAGGGCGCCGAGCCACGAGCCAGTGAAGAAGCGCTCGAGGCGCATGTAGCGGTGAAAGGCCTGCATCATGTCGTTATCATCGACCGAAATCATCTGGCGGTACGGTGTCTGAAACGTGTCCTCCAGCAAGAACATGATATCCATGGACACAAATTACAGTGAATGTACACAAAAATGGTGATTTGTGTACACACATGTTGTGTATTTTGGGTTTCAGGAGGCGCCCATTATTTCTTCGATGACATTGCGTCGCAGAAAGTCAACAAAAGATTTGCCAAGGCCGTGCAATAATTTGTTTGCCAAAGAAGCATGTTGAAATCGTTAGCTTGATACCCTCTCCAGAAGAGCGCGACTTCTATGCAGCCTTGCATGACCGCACCAAGACCCAGTTTGATACATCTGTCAGAGAAGGCAAAGTCATGAAGAACTACGCATCTATTCTTGAATTGCTGCTCAGGTTGCGCCAAGCTTGCGATCATCCGTACCTGGTATTCGCTGCAGCGCTCAGTAAGGATTCAGTCGTCATGAAGGACAGGGACAAACTTTTCAAACAATTTTTGCAAGCGGGGTCCTCATCCCAATTTGTTGAGATGATATTTAACGACGCTGAGTCTGGCACACTGCAGAGGTCTAAGGAGTGTCCACTTTGCTTGGATGTGATTGATGATGCTGTTGCACCGAGAGAATGCGGCCATCCGGCTTGTAGAAGTTGCTTGTTAGAATGCGTGCAGCGGACCAAGAGGTGCCCTGTCTGCAGAGCTGACATTACCTTCGAGAGCATTGGTACGCTGCCAAGGGCTACTAGATTTTCAGTGGATCTCAAGACGAGATGGAGATCCAGCGCTAAAGTAGACGCGTTACTGAAGGACCTTGCCGAAATACAAACTCTCCGAAAACAGAATGGTGCTGAGGGAGTCGGAAAGACAGTCGTTTTCTCTCAATTTACGAGCATGCTAGATCTCGTCTGGATGGCTCTCGACAGAGCGAAAATTAAGTCTCTCCGTATCGATGGATCTGTTCCTCAAGCTTAGAGAGCAACAATTTTGGAGCGTTTTGAGAACGAGAAAGAGTTATCATTGTCCACTTCAAATGTCTTGCTTGTATCCCTTCGGGCGGGCGGCGTTGGTCTAAACCTTTGTGCTGCATCATGTGCCATCCTCTTAGATATTCACTGGAACCCTCAATTCGATGCGCAAGCACAGGATCGTGTGCATAGGCACGGGCAAACCAGAGATGTGGTCATCAAGAGGTATATCGTGAATGGGTCGGTGGAGGAACAACTCCTAAAAGTACAAAAAAGGAAGCAGGATATCGCAGATGGAGCCCTCGGAGCAGCTACCGAGAAAGACAAGAAGCAGGCTAAGTTGACCGAGCTCAAGCTTTTATTCGCCGAGGCCTAAATTGTCGCTGCAGCTGTTTCGCCGGCACTCTGCTTGCCACGAACGCCTTGGTTCTTACTGAGATCAGTCTTCCTTTTTTGCTAGAGCGTTGAATGACATCATCACACTCACTGAACAGGCAATGAAGAGCGGTACACATGACGTACTGATGAGTACAGCCAGAATGCCATGTGCTCCAACAACCTCGAAACACCACGAAAGACTTTTCAATAAGCAAAAAGGGGACCACAACTCGCGCAACGGTTGACCGCTGCAAGATTGTAGCCTGCCGTGATGACATCACAGCAACGTAAATACTACGATTGCACCCCTAGTCCCCTGATCACACTGAGGTTGCCCTACGAACGCCTACAGTAGGGTTGCTAGGGACGAGAGGGCTCGAAGGATGGCGATAACTCCTCGCAGTTGATCCCAGCTCGCATCATGTCCAACCGCCAACTTCTGGCTACTTCTCCAGTTAGGAATACCTCGCACAAAATTGTCGACATGCTCGACACGCTCATCTGCAGCGCTTCCACAATTCCACACTGTTCCACTCCGGCTAGCGGTGGTAAAAACTAACCTCCGGCGTACGTACGTAGAAGGTGTCAGACTCTTCATCGCTCTGGTAAACGAAGCATGGACGGAGACTGCTCCGTCGCGGGTACCCCGGGCAAATTGGCCGTGAAGATGATCCTCGGCCCATTCAAGAACGTCCAGAACAACTACTCTTTCGCTCCCGCCTACCCGAACCACAAATCCGCCTCTTCACCTCATCAACAGTCTCCCCTGGTCCATACACCTGCATTTCCGCCCCACCAACCCCAGCCGTACGCACACCAACCTCATTCCCAACAGTATCCACCCCACGATCAGACGTACCACCCGCCCGCCTAGCAGTAAGAGCCCAGCTTGCATCATGTCCAACCGCCAGGATATCCCAGCGTCGGAGGAGCTCCATGTCATAACATGTAAGAGCTTAACCACAAAAAAAATACCAAATGGCCTTGCACTGAATCATTTAACGCGTTTGTGCTGAAAAGTTCGACAGCTTTTTGAAGTTTCTAAGACTTTCACAATTCATATATGTGTCTACGACGACATACGTGACTAGATGCTCATGTGTGCTTGACCCTTTGTACAAAATACGTGCGTCAAGTACTCATCTGTAACCAAATAGCTGACTTCGTACACGGCCTGAAAGCCTCTAATAATGAAGTAGGGGTGCTCTACCTCGAGAGACCTGCAAACGTGTTCAGAAATGGATGTAGCTGTACTCCAGAATCGACTGTTCGGGGGAACCATCGGACGCCACCGGAAAGAGAAAGTTTTCAACTCCGAGAAAACAGTCTTTACAGCCTCGTCCTCCGACACCTCGCTCGGAGTGGCTGAAAGCCTTGCCGCGAAAACCTTGCTTACAAGATCAACTGCTTGAAGTGATGAACGTGAGAGAGGGTGAGTGTACGACATACTTCGAAAATCGAAATCTCGGCTCCTTGGGACAAGGGCATCGACCGTCGCCTTGCGACGAACGTATGGCATACATGTTCCCATCAGCAGTGCCGCCGCCGAATTCTCATCGGTCTCATCTGCGACGTACAACCCCAGAATGCGAATTGCATCATGCACGGTTCCTTCTTTTCCTCCTCCTTTCCTCCGTCGCACAATATTTCTCATGTCCGCGACAGAGTTTATGCCAATAACTGTGCACAAATCTCTGCATGATGGGAAATCATCTCTGCGAGCTCGGTGCCCGCTGCGGGAGACTGGGTTTCCTGAAACGACGGCTTGAACTGGGCAGAATCGGACAACAAATGAACAGCGCGGGCCAAGTTCTCATACTCTTCCAAGGTGCAGTCTACCACTGAACGAATGCTTCCGGTAGAGCTCTCTTCGTAGTATGTGTCCTGCTCCGTATCCCCTTGTCGCGGTTTGAAGTTTGGTACCGGCTTCTGGATGAATACCAATGTCTTCTGTCTCAAAGTATTTAGGAGACGTGCACGTTGCCTTTCTGCCGTTGATCCAGACCCGATCCGAGAAAAGAATTGAAACTGGCCAACAACCATGCGCTCGATTTTTTCAACTCGAGATAAAAGCGTAGCCACTTTCCCCTCCACGCTATACATTCGCAAATTTTGTACCGCCTCCCCATCACCAACTCCATTTTCGCTCTGGCGAATAAAATTTTCTCCGTCTGTTTCATAGCTCACCTGTCCTGAGCACTCATAATAACGCCACCGCAACTGAGTGGCGTCATCTTCCACCAAGCGAATATAATCAGGAAGAATCCACACCATCGCTTGTTGTTCATCGAACCCCTCCCTTGCCACGTTTTTCAGTTTCCTTTTCACTCTTCCCTCGACCACTTCCTTAGTTACTAACTCTGCCCGCCACCAGACGGATGCAAGCGTTCTCTCACCTCGCCTTCCTCCTTCCCCTTTGGTTAATTCGATGTCCCAGAGGACCTCAATTAGTATCCCAGGTACCAGAGACTGCATTTCGGCACAGTAGTCTGAGCCTTGGGAAAGGCTTCCTGTCACTATGAATTCGTCATGAAAAAGCACGCTCGTCTTTTTTTACACGTGGCAGGCAAGACCCCCAAGCTTTGTTTCCCGAAGTCACCAAAGGACAAACGGGGCTTCGTCCCGTCCTTTCTCTCCGCAACCAGATTCCGAAGTCGTGCGCAACCCTGCCGACTTACCCCAAATACGACGCACATCCCCCGCCATGGTCGAGCAAAAAGAAGTCATCCGCCCACCCCCTGATGTGTATCTGATCGACCCTCGTCCGCCCCCCTTCACCGTCCCCTCTGCCTACCGCGCCCCGCGCCCCGCGCCCCGCGCCCCGCCCTCTCATCTCAACTCGCAAGACTTCATCTTCGATCTCGGGTCGTCCACATTGTGGCCGCCTTCTCAAGCTCCTCCATGCCAATCTTACAAACCCCACCGTATGTCGCCCGCATGCGCCATGCTATGATGCCGAGTGGAAGAAAATTAGAGAGGAACCAGATAACTTTGACGAAGTGTCAAAGACAGTCAAGGTGGAAACTGGGGAGGCGAGTGATAAGCCGGCGACGAGCGCGGAGGAGCAGGCGAAATTTTATAATGGGAGGAGGTTGAATAAGTTAATGCAGGATAAAAAGAATTCAAGAGCCAGCGGAAGGAATAAGGATGTGTCCGGGACAGAGGCAGAGCCGGTGGACACGGTGGAAGATGTCAAGAGCCGGCGGAAGGGATATGGATGTGTCGGGGACAGAAGCAGAGCCAGTGGATACATCGTATACACTGGAGGAGGTTGTGTATTGAAGATATGAGGGATATAGATGAGGACAAGTACTACATTTCCATGTGCGTCAGACAGTGGGAATCGTCGACAGCGCTGAACCAAGAGATCGACAAGCGACAGCTGCTCGTGGATGACGAACGTGCCAAATTGAGCGCGGGAAAGGCAAGGGCAGCGGAGGTGGCGTGGTGGAAGCGCGTACGAGCAGACGAGCTTCTGTCGATTTCAGAGCTGAGCGCGCCGTAACTCAAGCAAAAGCGGCACGAGCGCGCGCTTTGCGGGGCTACGAAAGCACGGTTACGGGGGAAAAGGGTCAAGCTCGCGTCGAAGGCGAAAGCGTAGAGAAAGGCTGAAGATATAGAGAAGATGCGCATGGAGAGGCCACAAGAGTATCTGACCGAACTGCGAACGGAGCGAGATGAGCTAGCTGAGCGTTTAAATCGAAAGGACGCCGCGCGCGAAGCGAGGTGGGATCGGCGGTGGCAGGCTGCAAGGGAGCGAATGAGGTTGTTGGCACAACAAGCAGGAAGTAATGCAGGTTTCGACGAAGACCCAGGGCGATGGAACTGGAAGGGGCGCGAGAGAGGAAGTGGGAAGGGAAGAAGGAGGGGCCAGGGGAGGGGACGAGGGAGAGGGCGTGGGAAGAAAAATGTGGAGGAGGACACGTTTGGGGTGGACGATGCGGACTGGGATGTGTACAGATCAATGAAGGTTGGAAACGATGGGACGGATTCTGAAGACAACTCTGGAGAAGAGCGTGTTCGTTTGAAATCTGTGCGTACTGAGATTATGAATGAGTGTCTCGTTAAACCTGTCAGGAAGTACCGCTTCTACGAGGTTATCACTGAGGATGGATTGCTGGTTTCACGGAGAAGCTTTTCGACATCGACGTGAATAGCACGCATCTCGCTGTTGTAGTAGTGATGTTGGCAAATATGAAGTAGTATAGCGTGAAGAAACCGAGAAGAAGAAAACGCATTCGATACATGGTGAGTAATTGCTGCCAAGCTCCGAGCCGTGAGCGAGCCTGTGTGGGGTTTGTTGGTCGCCATCCTGCATGAAACGATCGAGAGGATTTCCTCTCCCGCTCAGATGTAGAATTCAGCCGTGGGAGGCGCGGTGAGTGGGAGTCATGGAGGCCAGATAATGTTGCAGCTGGGTGCAGGTTACGAGCGGTAGTGCGATATTGTGTCGGGAGATCGGAAATGTCGAACGACATCGGAGAGTGGAACTTATGTGTGCTACGTGTTTTAATTGGCTGTCTCTACAATGACTTCATTCATCTATTTTTAATTGGGCCCTCGTCGTCTGCCCGTGCCGCACGTCGCACGGGCCGTGCGGCGCGCGAATGATCACAAGTGGCTCCTTGGAAAACTCCCTATCGCTTGCGGCTCGTCCCGCTGAAGAGCTACACCGAGCTCGGTGTTAAGGAAGTCGGGCTGCCACGTGCAAGCATGGTTGTGCGAATTACTGGTGTGTGCGTTGTACGCATCTTCGGTGCGCATGTAGCGATGCTGGCCTGCTCCGCCTCAACACGGCGCTGCGACTCAGCTTCCTTCTCCGCTTTTTTTCTTCTGTTCCGAGCAGCTTTTGATTCTATTCCACCCCCCAATCTCCGGGCGACTTCATTGCCTTCGGGTAATTGGGGATTAGCGTTGTCCGCCGGTTCTGCTTCTTCCTCTTCGATAACGCTCTCCAGTCTCTCAAGCGCCTGCGCTTCGACTAGTCGCTTTGCAATC